CTTTATTAGAGGCTTACTTGGCTTAATGGAATCCTTGACTCATCCAAATTATTTTAAATACTGAAATACTTAGATGTAAGACATTCAGAAACTAAACACCAATAAAGAGGTGTGAAATGATACTTTAACAGCTCCAAATCCCCGTCTTAATGACAATAGTATGTTGACATAAGTTTTTCAGCTAACCGGATGATCTGTTTGCAGTAGTAAGACACTGCTGATATTATCCATATCATATTGTGTATTAGACTTAAATTTGATTAGAGCCACAAACAAGTGTTACCAAGCGTTAAAACAAGTGTTAAACTGTAATGTGTTTGCATGATTGTTAATGAATATTTAATCTAATGGAAAATCATTATTTCACTTTTTCTGTGTTATATTTCATCTGCAACAACAATGTGAACTATTATAATGACATTCTAGTCATTAACTTCCGAATTCCTACTGTAAATATACAAACACATGATATGGCAGAATAACTTGTTTTTGACAGAAAAGTGCATTTTAGGACATAAAAAGTGGGCGAATTTGGATTAAACAATTGAGTGTGTTATTGATTCAATAGATTCATTCAAATCTGCTGATTTATTCAGGAACAAAGCAATACCCCATTGTTCAAAACATCTGATTTATTTAGAAACAAAACAAGTAACTGTGTTAATGCATGGTATATTGAATGACTGACTCCCCTGTTTCTGCTAAAAATGATTGGTCATTAATAAATGAACCATACAGAAACCAAACACTAATTAATCAAACATAATCAAGAATCTAAAAAACCCCTAGTCAATGAAAGTCTCTAGCCTAATAGGTGAGACATTGAATCACTCAATTAACTAATTCTATTTATGTAGCTACCATTTGATACCACAAAACCAGTATTATGCTGCATTTGTAACAGTAAGACTAGCCAAAAAATGCATTGTATGAGTCAAATTTATGTTTTTTATGCCAAAAATTGTTAGAATTTACAGTTTTTTAGGATTGCTTACACACTAAAATTAAAAGTAGTACACTATTAGCAAAACCTTACACACAAGTATAAAAACATCAGCCCATATTTGCACATCTATAAGCACATTGTCAACTTAACACTTGTTGCAAAACTCTACACACAATGATTTTCAAAACACTAAACACACTTAACATACATTACACACTAAAATCTATCATGAAGTCACTTCATTGCAATACCAAAGCACGGACTGTCAAATTACTGCACCGTCCAACCAATTGGTTCAACACAGTCATCAGGTGTGCAAACACTTGTTTGATTTATTGTAGACACAACAATCAGGTGTTTAAGCACTGTAAAATGCCAGTTTCAATGAAAACCATCAGGTCTCAATATCAACACTGGCACACACCATTAAAAAAAAAAAAAACATTCAAATGAAGCAAATTTATGGAGTGCCTTTAGAGCACAATTTCGAAAGGGTGAAAAGACTGGCATGATTATGCAGAGTTATGTATTCACTTGTGATCTTGCATACTGTCTCATAAACTTTTACTGTACTGTAATACTAGATCTACAATGAACTATACAATTTTGCCTGACACTGTTCTTCAGGTAGTTTTACGAATAGATGAAGAGGAGATCCAGCATGAGTTCATTTACGTAGATGATGGTGTGTTCAACCTGACGAGAACACAGAGTAGAAGAAATCATTGGCCACAGGGCTATAGTCAATGTCCCAGGGCAACATGGGGGAAATATGCAGTAACACTCTGTGCAGCCATTACAAAGAATGGGGTCCTCCACTGCCATGACCATTTGGGCCCTTACAACACAGCACATATACGTACATTCTTGGACCAATTGCACAACATAACAGCAGCAAATCAAATCGGTCATACGTAATACATTGTTGTCTGGGACAATGTATCTTTCCACCGTTCTGCTCTGGTTCAGAACTGGTTTCAGCAACATCCACATTTCACCGTCCTATATCTTCCAGCATACTCTCCATTCCTCAACCCTATAGAAGAGTTTTTCTCGGCATAGTGGTGGAAGGTATATGATCTCCGTCTTTAGGCTAAGGTACCCCTCATCCAAGCCATGGAGGAGGCCTGTGACCAAATGGAGGTAGCAGCAATACAAGATTCTACATTCAAGACACTTCCTTCCAAGGTGTCTTGCTAAGGACAACATTGCAATGTTGATAATTCTCATGCCAGATTCAGCTATGCGAAGAGACAGTGTCTAACTTACAGTTCAATACGTAAAGTGACATGTTACAGTACTTTGAATCTTCATGCCAACATGTTGGACATGTTGAGGAATAAATGAGTTTCTTCAAGGTGCAGCATTGTTCTTGAGTAGTGTTTGGTGAATTTACTTTATATTTGTACTTTGTTGATGGTAGCCTACTCTAATCATAGGGAAGTAGAAGTGCTAAAAGTGTTTTAGGTTTATCACAGCAGTGTGTAACTCATGCAAACAGCGTATAGTAAATGTGAAAATGTGTATTTCTTATGGTAAAAAAGTGTGGTTTTTAAACATAAGTCTATAGTTTTTATAAGAGTGTTTAATTATGCAAAGGATCTGTAGTGTTTTGCTAATTGGGTGTGTGGTTGTGCTAATTGTGTGTACTGTTTTGAAAACACGGGCCCTGTTTTGAAAATCGTGCTTATGCAATCCAAAAAAACTGTAAAGTAAAGATCATGTACCTTGAGTTTACTAGGAAAATATCTCATTGTAAATGTATCAAACCTAATTATATTTTAAATTAGTTATCTGCAATGCTAAGGACAGATATGTGCCACTAATACAGTATAAACTCACCGGCCACTTTATTAGGTACACCTTACTAGTACCCGGTCAGACCCACTTTTGCCTCCAGAACAGCCTTAATCCTCCGTGGCATAGATTCAACAAGGTACTGGAAATATTCCATATTCCTCAGAGATCTTAGTTCATATTGACATGTTAGCACCAAGCAGTTGCTGCAGATTTGCCGGCTGCACATCCATGATGCGAATCTCTCATTTCACCACATTCCAAATGTGCTCTATTGGATTGAGTCGGATGGCTGTGGAGGCCATTTAAGTACAGTGAACTCATTGTCATGTTCAAGAAACCAGTCTGAGATGATTCGTGCTTTATTATATGGCACGTTATCCTGCTGGAAGTAGCCATCAGAAGATTGGGACACTGTTTTCATAAAGGGATGGACATGGTTAGAAACATTACTCAGTGGCTGTGGCTTTAACACGCGACTTAATTGGTACTAATGGGCCCAAAGTGTGCTAAAAAGATATCCCACACCATTACACCCCCAGCCTGAACCGTTGATTCAAGGCAGGATGGATCCATGCTTTCATGTTGTTGATGCCAATTTCTGACCCTAACATCCAAATGTCGCAGCAGAAATTGAGACTCATCAGACCAGGCACGTTTTTTTAAATCTTCTATTGTCCAATTTTGGTGAGCCTGTGCCAGTTTCCTGTCCTTAGCTGACAGGAGTGGCACCCGGTGTGGTCTTCTGCTGCTGTACACAGTATACATTAATGCAATGCTTATTTATACAGTTCCAGGGTCACATTTAATCTTAAATATTAATGATACAAATGATAAAGGCTTTCAGACGTGGCTATAACACTAAATCAGCTCAGAAAACATTGTCCTGTGCTAAAAAATAACCATGGTGAATTAGCTGCAGGCATGACACTGACCCTCTAGCTCTTTTCAATGGTTTGTAGCTTCCACTCATTTTGTGAGTTTCCCGTAGTTTTTCTTCACTGCCCACGAGTCTCCCACCACTAGAGTGTGTTGCAGAATTTAAGAGCTGATGGCTTTGACACACTGGCAAGGGAAGAAAATAAACAAAGGGATAAAGAACTAGAAGAGGATTCTGTTCCTCTGCCCATCTCTCTCTCTCTGTCGCTCCATCTCTGTCGAGCGTTTCGGTTTTGTCAGCTAGCATGTTAATAATGCCATTAAGCCGCACATTTGCAGTCCACACGCTCTCATGGGTCGACAGATCAAAGATGCAGTGTCTCAGCCACTAACAACAGACAATCTCACACATTTCTACATGCTCACACACACACACACACACACACAGACGCCTCAGCAGCCCATACAGAATGCTAAGCGCAGCAGCTGAGGAAACAGATTTTCCTGTTCTGCGTCTTTATTTATTTGTTTGCTTGACAGTTAGTTTTGCCGCGCACAACAAAAGCCTGTCGTCTCGGGTGATATTAAATGAAAGATTTTGGCGGCAGGTGTCGTATTACCACAGAAATGCATATAGAATGTTGATATTCCGTATGGAGCAATGCAAACCTCTTATTTGGGATGTAATTCCGTGGAGGGATTTTAGGATAATAGTTTTATTTAGTGCATGCGCATGTAATTCTGCAGTGAATAAATTCAAAGAAGAGAATTTGGAGCTAATCCAGCCTTAAACCTTCCCTCTATCCCTCTTTTTTCCCCTCGCTCTCGGTCTTTTTCTTGTGCTATCTTTTGTTTCTCGTTTCCTCTTTTCTTATCCTGTTTCCGTTGGGAATGTTCTATCACTAAAAAAAAAAGTATTTTATTTTTTAAGGGGCTGTTTATCTGAATTAGAGAAAGCTTTATCTTGCCTCACATTCTTTTTTTTCAGAGATCTAAGCAAAACAGTCTTTTTTTGAGTTTGTGTGTGTGTGTGTGTGTGTGTGTGTGTGTGTGTGTGTGTGTGTGTGTGTGTGTGTGTGTGTGTGTGTGTGTGTGTGAAGCTGAACCCGCACTCTTCTTCTCAAAGTCCTCGCTGAATAATAACTCATGGATTTTAGATAGGAACAAGTCAATGGTGTCCCACCGGATCCCGTATCTAACATGTATGAAATATGAATGCAATTTCCATTCAGCGCCTCCACCGAGTACGCAGAGATCTTTAATGCCTCTGAGTTTCTTAAATCTGATTTAATATCAGCGCTGTGCCTCTGCAGACGTGAAGTTATGGGTGAATTATGAATTGTTAATTAATGCGCTTTTATTGTTGTCTCTTCCACAG